AGGCAGGTGGGTGAGAGGCCGGGATCCGAGCCTGGCCCCTGGCCCTGCAGACCTCGTTGTCGGCCGTGCCGTGGCCCCCTGAAACCACCTGTCTTCCTGAGGGGCTTACAGCGGGGCGGCCTCGCTGTGAGTCGCTGACTTTAATATTAAAGGTTTGACATTAAATGATGAGTGTGGGCCCTTTCCTGCCACCCCTGTAACACTGATCAGGGACACACTTGCTTGGGTAAAGAGAAGGATGCACTTAATTAAGGAGAAGGAGGGAAAAGGTGTATCCCACCGGCTGGTGGGAAGAGGCCAGAGCCCCGCAGGGCGTGTTGGGCTGTGATGGTACCAGCTGGTACCTCCACTCCTGCCTTCACAAAGCACAGCCGGGATCACTGTCACAGCAGTAACTTACATGCTTTTTGGAGGACAGAAGCCCAACTTCAGACAATCGGTCAAAATCTAAAGGTGAAGCAGAAGGGGTATAGGATGAAGCTTTGGTATGTATAGCTTCCTGAAGGCGGCCTGGGTTTCTGCCTGGAAACTTTGAGCAGACTCTGAAAACTCCTGGTGTTGCAGGGCCTGTGGTGTTCTGCTTGAAGTGCAGCAAGTACAGCCGGGTTGAAAGAGCACTAAGCTGTGTGTCAGCAGACCTGTATGTGTCCATAGCGTGTGCCCAGATCAGCCGTATGGCACAAGTGCAACAAAACTGATGCTTTGGGTGGTGTCAGGCATTTTGCTTGTGTACATGTATATTTGACTGGGAAAAACGCATGCCAGGTACATCCAAAAAATACCAGTTTCCCCTAGTGGAAGTACGGCATGCCCAGATACTGGCACGTAAGGAAGGGCAGTAGTCAGTGAACAGCTGATACGATAGCCAATCCACACACCTTCAGTTTTTGAGTGTTTTGACACAGTAGTCAAATTCAACTTAAGAGAGTGTAATTTAGAGCACTTTCAGTAATGATTTTTTTTTTTTTTTTTTTTTTACCAGAAGGCAGGAACATTTTTATCTTCAGTTGCAATGTATTTTCTTCTCCAGAGTTGGGACCATGGCTGTTGACTGGATTGGTTTTGCATATGCTGCGTTGCTGGCTGTTGGAGGTGTTGTAGGATACACTCGTAAAGGTAAATACAGGGACAGCAGAGTTTGTAAATGAAGCATTTGAGTTACCTCTCTGCTACGCTTTGTAAAAAATGTAAATTGCTGTAATGAACACGACTGCATTTTAAATCCATCCTGCACTGCTGTGAATAAGCTGAGTCCCGTGAGATTTACTTGGGTTAACTCAAGTATTTAAGGGGTCACTTTTTTTCTGTTAATCTAACTGATGAGTTTGTTTACAGGGCAAAAGGGGCTGTCATGTTATCTTTGACCTTCAGTGTATTTTAGGCCTTCTCATTTCCTTTAAACATTCCTGCGTTGAGCATAGTAGATTATCTTTGATTAAAGCTAATTTTCTACAGAGGCATCCAGGCTTAATTCTGAGACTTCCAGATGCACACTGGAAAGAAAACCTGTTACTTGTGTATGTTGATCTGGTGGTTAGTTATCTCCTACCGTTAGAACTGTGCATTTTCACTCAGAGATGATGGGATAGGTTTTAGCTTGCCCTGTACTATAAAGCGGGTGTAGATGTGTTTCAGCCGTTTGTGCAGCGCTTCCCAGCCAGCAGTGCCGGGGCCGGGCCGGGCCGAGCCGAGGACAGCATCCCGGCAGAGGTCGCAGCGGTACCGGGGACGGGCTGGCCGCAGCTCCGGGCTGCTCCCCGCTGCCTCTCCCTCAAAGTGCACACCCCAGCAGCCAGCGCATCAGTTTTCTTTGCCGTGCCGTTATCCATCCCTGTTCGTGCGATCCAGGGTCACTTGTTTCCCTGCACAGCATGCACATGCTTTGCTCTTAGAGATACAGCTTTATATCTGACTTTCTGAAGACCTTGCTCTGGTTTTTTGTTTGTGTGCAGCTGCGTTCACTCACTACCCCATTTGCTTGTTCTCTTCACTCTTTAATAGTCGGTCAGTCACTGTGGCAAACCTAGATTTTTTTTTTTTTATTGTTAATGATTTCTGTTTTCTTGCAATTCTTGATTAAAAATAATCAATCTAACAGGACTGTGAGCTAAATGACATCTGAGGATCTGGATTCTTCCTTTATGAACATTTTGGGATCAGCTTAATCCAGATCATGCCTGCTGTGCTGATTCTACACTTTTATCATATGGTACCAAGTCAAATGCCTATTGAGAAGCCTGGGTATATTCCTGAAACTCTGGGCTTTATGAACCAGTTTTGAAAGATGTCAAGTTACTTTTAAAAGCCATATTTTCATCTTCATTGTCATCTAATTGGTTTTGCTCCTTTTAAATTCTTTATTAATTAAATGTGATGTTGGTGTGTGGTGGTTTAATTTCTCTGTCCAGGACTGGTGTCAGACTGAAAGTCTTATGACTACATGTATTGTCCAATTTACCCTTTATATGTATTGACACATTTTTACCATTTTTTGAGACTTCCAAGTGTTGTAAGATATAGCTAAAATCAACAGATAGTCCTGAGAAATTACAGAAAAGCTTCTAAAGTTATATATGGTAGAGAAAATAGCTAAATTTAGGTTTGTGCTTCAAAGATTATTTTTCCCAAATTACAAGTATTACAAGTTCCTCATAATCTCCCTCTAATGCAGTCAACTTTGCCCCTAATGCCATGCAAGAGAATCATAGAATGGTTTGGGTTGGAAGGGACCTTAAAACTCATCCAGTTCCAACCCCCCTGCCATCAGCAGGGACACCTTCCACTAGACCAGGTTGCTCAAAGCCTCATCCAACATGGCCTGAAACCCTTCCAGGGAGGGGGTATCCACAACTTCCTTGGGCAACCTGTTCCAGTGTCTGACCACCCTCACAGTGAAAAACTTCTTCCTAATATCTAATCTAAACCTACCCTCTTTCAGTTTAAACCCATTTCCCCTTGTCTTGTCATTAGTAGCCCTTATGAAAATTCCCTCCCCAGCTTTCTTGTAGCCCCTTCAGGGACTGGAAGGCCGCTATAAGATCTCCCCGGAGCCTTCTCTTTTCCAGGCTGAACAGCCCCAACTCTCTCAGCCTGTCTTCATAGGAGAGGTGCTCCAGCCCTCGGATCATCCTGGTGGCCCTTCTCTGGACTTGTTTTAACTGGTCCATGTCTTTCTTAGAATGACCCAGTTACAGAAATATTATCTCTCTGTTCACAGTGGGTGAGATAGAGCTAGCTGCACTGAGGAAAAATCAGTTCTATTTTTACAATATTTGGATAATATTGTGGAGAGAGAGAGAGAACTTCTGTGTAAAGATTGAGCTTAGAGACATTGTATTGAGAAATAATGCTTGAATGGTTTCTTGCAGGTAGTAAAATCTCTTTAGCTGCTGGTCTCACCTTTGGTTCTGTGGCTGGTTATGGAGCTTACTGCGTAACACGTGATCCAAGAAATGTGAAGATATCATTGTGTAAGTGTTTTACTACAGTAAACAACACCCCCCCCACACACACACAAAAAAAAAAAGCCCACAACAAAACCAGGCAGTTTCCTGAATTGCATGTAAAAGTCTCTCTTATATTAAATTTTGAGCATTGCTTTGGTTTAAATGTTATTTTTTAAATAGAGTTAGACACTTCAATTTAGCTTGCAAAATTCAAGAGTTTATACATGGAACTGTTTGCAAGGTAAGGCAAATCATTCACACAAAGCCAGCAGGTGTATTTTACCACCTGGCATCACCTCCTTTTATTAGATGGTTACCTAACACTGCAGATATTGTGAAATCCAGCTGAGAAACATGGGAAAGTACTGACAAAAAATCATTAGAGCTACAGATTAGAAAGTAATTTGAGAAGTAAAGTAGGTGTGGGATCCAGTCTTGCGTAATGGAATGTATCCTCAGCTCGCAGTGAAACAAATAGTTTGTGTTTTTCCTTCGCTGCTAAGAAGGACAGGATACAAACAATGCAGTACTTGTCGTGTTAGCTAGTGTGCCATGAAACCCCCATGGAGGGAAGGAACTGCAGGAACTGTCCCTCTAAGGGGGATGTTGTTTAACCTCGCACAACTGATTTGCACTAAGAGCTCTTTGGAGCTTGTCTCACTCATGGTTTTAGCAAAGGTGGCTGTGGTTTCACATGCAGAAATGCATTTAAAATAAACTGTAATCCATATTGTGCGAGTACACTCTTGCTTTTTCTGAACTTAGAATTTATGGTACAGTGTTCATGCTGCTTTTGGTTTTTACACCAGCCACAGTTGTAAAAACTTCCATTTCAAAAAAATGTTGAATAGGATTGTTAGCGAAGTGTATTTGCACCAACTTGTTTCTTTAGTAAAGGCAGTAATGGTACACCTGATCTGCTCCTAGATGGCCTAAAATTGGATATTCTTGTTTTGCCACCGTGACCTTGCTCAGATTAAATTATCCCACTGTTAAAAATCCCCCTTTTTTTTGGAATGAAGACACAGCCTTAAGTATATGTAAATATGTAATCATTCTGTGTGATGTGCTTTTGAGTAGATATGGTCTTTATGGGTCAGTTAGATCACTAATTTGGATACAGAATTTGTGGAAGACTAATTAAAACTTAGTAAATGTTTGTAATTTGTTGGCTTTGAAAGGACTAATACAGACTTTCCACAACCTGCTCATCGACGTCAGATATACTAAAACATAGTGAGTGTTATGCATTTCACGTAGCCATAGACATACCAGGACTTTCTGTCAACTGCAGAAACATGTATTACTAATTGAATAGAAATTATAGCAATACAGATGAGATACAATTCACTACACTTGCCTTAGAAGGTTCTTACTGTGTAGACTAAAAAGAACAAAGACTTTTAAAAGCAGTTGTAGTTCAGAGTGTTTACAAAGTGATGTTCTGATTGCTTAAAACCTAAACGTATATTTAACCTTGGCTGTGAATGGGTGGCCCCTTTAAGATCCACCTGTGATGGATAAATCCAATAAGGTGGTCTGAACTAACTGCTAATTTTTGCCTGAAGTGAGTTAGGAAGTATTCATGCAAAGTGCTCTGCCAGTGCCAGCTGTCCAGGCTGGTTTTAATCTCTTCCAGGCTGAAGGGTATCTTCAGTATCTCAGTCTGGAAGAGGATGTCATCTGGCTTCTATATACATGGGTATCCCAAATGAATAAAGAACTCAGTAGGAAGACTTCAGAGGAAGGGAGAATTAGACACACTCGGAAACATCTACAGGTCCACACCTTAAAAACCTTTGGTGGCTGCTGTATCTGATACTTTCAGAATAATAAGGGCTTTTCGTAATAAATGTGTATTGCTTTCGTAGGAAATCAGAATGTTTTCCCTTTAAATCTAACCTGCCAAAGTGCTAAAAGCAACTGGAGCACAAATGAAAGAAGCAAATTAAGTGCACGGAAGAGTGACCACTCTGAACTTAGAAACCAGTAAATTGCAAAGTCAAATGAAGCATGTACCCAAACTTTTAAAAGGTTAGGAAATAAATAATTAAAAAAAAAAAAATCCATCCAAACCCATAATTATCTATAGTATTTATCACCTATGCAAGAGTCTTCTTCTGCAGTAACGTACAGTAGCATTTTAGTACAAGACCTTGATAGTGGGGTTCTTGTAACTGGTCCTATATACAAAGAGTATGTAGCGTACAGGCACCCCAGGCAAATGTCCTTAACTGCTGTAATTATACATTATTTTTTCAGGCGTTTTCCCACTCCCTCTGAAATCAACTCTGCACTTTCTTGGGTACTTTAATGTAATGTTAGGTGTTTGGAGCAGGTGCAGAAATTCTGACTTCAGTATGCAACAGTTAGTGCTTTTCAGAGTGCAAGTCGATGCAACCTATTTATTGAATTTCTGACCTGAATATGATTTACTGAATTGAATTTGGCTTGATTTATTGGATTTCTTTGACTAATTTAAGGGGAAACAATGGCTATCTATCACTTTTGAAAATCAGGTCTAAAAGTTGAACATCTTAAAAACTCACTGGCACATCTGAAAAGCCAGATACTAGTAACTGGAAAAAAAACCACAACACATGACAGAGTGCACATGCTTTGTAGCTTGTAATTAATTGCAAATATACTCAGGGCTGTGGCAAGACACATACTGTGGAAGAGACCACTCCTCAGACATTCCTGAGAGGATCAAGGCTATGGGACCAGAAAATCAGAGCAACGGATAACGGAGCATAATAGCTTTTTGCAGGGTGTCTTTAATGAGGGCATATGCATAGCTGGTAGAGTTTCATAAGATGCTTGTAACTGTCAGAGCTTGTTTTACAATGCTGGAGTGAGTTTTAAAACTAATTCTTGACAGCTGTGAGCACAGGACTGTCCACAGTAGTAGACAGTGGAGTTTGAGGAGAATTAGCCAGGTGGATTAACTGCTCCATAAAAAGAGAAGAGATTTGTGTAACTACCTTTACTTTGGTGCAAGAGTGATAAAGCCCAGCTGCCCACAGGAAGTGCAGCCTCTCTGCCCGCTTCCTGGGAGCATTTCAGGTGATAGTTCTTTAATGAAGCTAGCTATCTCTGGAGAATTTTATGTAGTCTCATTAATCTTCTCATTTATGTAGTGCTTTGCAGCCATAGTTCAAGATGAAATCCTCATGCCTGATCAGGTCATTGCTGCCTCCATTTTTAGGTAAAACTGCTCCAGGAAGAAGATGCAATTCCTTTCATGATGTTTGTTCTCTGCTGCTTACATTGCATGTGTTGCCCTCTTGGGCTGCTCACCTCTTCTCACAGACACAGATAGTTCCCTTGTCGCAAAATGAAACAAAGGAGCTTGTAGTCATGATGAAGGAGATGTTGACAACCATGTTCTGTAGTGAAAACAAGGGGAAAACCTTCCCATCTAGTTTTTAAGGGTCAGCAAACAAAGAGCTAGCATTCTAAAAAGAAAACAGATAAAAGCTGGATGCTCTAGCTCCTTGAATATTTAGAAGCTGCAGTGATCTAGTGTGGTGGGATTTATGAGACACTATTCCTGTAATTCAGTATACATGTTACGGTTATGATGAAGATTCTTCCTATTTTATTTGTATCCCCATGAATGCGGGAGTAGAATTCACTGTCTGACAAACTTAGTATCTGTGGAATAGGATTTAGCGCTTTGCTGCACCTAGAAACCTTATTTGTAGCTGAAAGAAATCATAGCAGTGCATTTTGGAAAAGCAAGAATGTTTTTACAGACCCTATCTCTGATCTAATGTTTTGTTAAATTGCAGTTCATAGCAAAACATAGCAATGGCCTTCGATAACTCTCCATGTTCCTGCGTGGTCCACTGGGAGAAGTCAGAACATAAATACATTGACTTGTCTTTTACAGTTACAGCTTTTCTTTTGACCATTATAATGGGAATGAGGTTCAAGAGGTCCAAGAAATTAATGCCAGCCGGACTAGTAGCATGCCTGAGGTAAACATATATTGAGGATCTTAATGTAAAGATTTCACTGATTTTCAAATAGTTGCCATTTGACATCTGATTCAAGCCAGTGTCAGGGGAAGTTACTATCACCAGCAACTGCACAGTTTAAGTGAAATTAATTTGGAGGTCACAGTCCTGTTTCCAGTGCAGCTTTTTCATCTCACTAGGCAGATATATCTGATATGGAGTGACTTTCTCAGCAAAGAAAGGAGGTACCTGCAATTAATTATTAATGCATATTGATAAGGCTCTTGGAAGAACCTGAAGTAAACCTCAGTGTTTTCAAACACATACACATAAAATTAGTCATCTAATTTCATACAACACAGTCATCTTAAAACAGACAGTTTTGACCTGATGACCTGACCTAAGAACTTTGGTCAGTATTACTGCAAATTACAACGTTTCTAACTATTCTGACTGCTTTGTTGCTGCTGTTTTATTTTGGCATTCTGGAAAACATAATTTTCTGTACATACTGTTTTGGAATTAAATTATGGAGTAAGTCAAAACTTTTTTTCTCCAGTGAGTCTGTAACTCAAAACATTTTTCAACTATTTTTCAGAATCCCCATCTTCTGAAGAAGTAATAACTTGCTTCATTGTTATAAAATTTAATATAACACCATCAACTGTTTTACTCCAGTTACATATAGGGAGGGAAAAATCAGATGTGAAAAATCAGATTGTCAAGGTGCAAAGTTTAGAAATCAGGACTTAAACTGGAAACTGCTATTTTCCATAGTGGATCGCTTTTCAAGCCTAGGTGGGCTCTGTGTTTCAGCAGCCCCGGAGGCTGTCGATTTAGACATTTTGAAAGATTGCTTACTAGAGGCTCTAGTGTCAGGTATTTATGAATGCTCAGTTATGTAATGATAACTTTCACTGTTCATGCACAGACATATTTATGTTTCTTGTTCTGGTTTGGGTTTTTTTGCAGCCTTTTGATGATTTTGAGGCTTGTTTTTATGCTGCTGTAGGCGAGTTTAGCAACTTAAGGACCCAAGTACGACTGCCACGCCCACCGAACAAACAGGCAAGCTCTCCATACTTGAAAGACAAGTTTGAACACAAGTCTTAAATTGCATTTATCTTTTCTGTAAAAGATCTGTACCTGTTATTGGATTATTGACATTTGCTAATGTTTTGCAAGCTTTTTTAAAAAATAAAACCAATGTTTTGTTGAGGATATATTTTGATCTACTTCCGTTTAAGCAGTCTGTTAACTCAAGAGGTGTTTCTCTGTAAGTTTGATCTCTTTCAGGGGTGCTGAGCACCCCAAGAAATTGAGTTAGTATTGCACTGTACTTCTGAGAAAAGAATTTATATAAATACCTGTTTATGCTAAAAAGGTGTATTGTATTGAACCATAATTTTGTAGCTTCTGAGATTACGTAATTAATTATACTCATATTGTGAATTACTAATCAGTAAAGGCACAGGCCTGTACTGTGCTGAACTAGAAAACCCACCTTTCTTTAAGACAAAAGTGTCTTGTTCCACTGGTTCTAAATGTAAAAACTATTATCAGTGTTCAAATAAAACATAAAATCGTCAACACTTCTCAGTTTTTTATGCAGACCAGTGAGCCATTTGGTCAATGGAAGAGTCTGGTAACCTGCTGGGTCCTCACTGCTGGGTTAAAACATGTACCATGCTGTAAATTCCCACTGATGTGAACCACAGCTGAGGAAGGTTCACTATATTGCACAAACAGGTTCTACATTCTCAGTCTCAATGTTCTTTAACAGGTTTGGCATTGTGGTCTCATACAGATTATCTTGCTGAAGTCCTCTCCCTAAGCAAAGGAGAGCATTCAGACATAAACTACTCAGGGACTGAAGCTGCTTTGGTTTGCATAGAAAATAACTAAATATTCCCCGAGTCTGAAAGCCTGGCTAAGACTGTCTTCTGGTGTACAGGAACGTGCAGCCAAATCATTAGGAAACTGAATATGGGTAAGTGAGCTATTGAAGACAAAGACAAATGTTGCTGCTTTTCATTTTTTCGTAGAGAGCTTGCTTATAAAGGTTATCACGTATCTCAGTGCTGTGCCAATCCATCAGCGGAATCATAGAAACATGGAATGGTTTGTGTTGAAAAGAACCTTTAAAGGTCATCTAGTCCAACCCCCTGCAGTGAGCAGGGACACCTTCCACTAGATCAGGTTGCTCAGAGCCCAGTCCAGCCTGACCTTGAATGTTCCCAGGGATGGGGCTTCTGCCACCCCTCTGGGCAACATGTGCCAGTGTTTCACCACCGTCACTCCAAGAAATTTCTTCCTCAAATCTAGTTGGAATCTGCCCTCTTGTAGTTTAAAACCACTCTCCCTTGTCCTATTGCTACAGGCTCTGCTAAAAAGTTTGTCCCCATCTTTTTTAAAGGTCCTCTTCAGGTACTGGAAGGCCACAATAAGATCTCCCCAGAGCCTTCTCTTCTCCAGGCTGAACAACCCCAACTCTCTCAGCCTGTCCTCATAGGAGAGGTGCTCCAGCCCTCAGATCATTTTTTGTGGCCCTTCTCTGGACCTGCTCCAACAGGTCCATGTTTTCCTTGTACTGAGGGCTCCAGAGCTGGACACAGTACTCCAGGTGGGATCTCACCAGAGCAGAGTAGAGGGGCAGAAAGGGGCAGAAACACCTCCCTTGACCTGCTGGCCACACTTCTTTTGATGCAGCCCAGGATACAGTTGGCCTTCTGGGCTGCAAGCGCACATTACTGGCTCACATTGAGCTTTTCATCCACCAGGACCCTCAAGTCCTTCTCCACAGGGTTGCCCTCAATGCCTTCATCCCCCAGCCTGCATTGATACCAGGGATTGCCCTGACCCAGGTGCACAACCTTGCACTTGGCCTTGTTGAACCTCATAAGGTTCCTACAGGCCCGCTTCTTGAGCTCATCCAGGTCCTTCAGGCCTATCAATGGCACTCACATGGGAAATACCAAGCTTATTATCTTGGTAGGGGCTTAGATTGTAACAAGGTGGTGTGAGCAGCCTCCAGCTCTGGGATCTCTGAGACCAAATGTTGGTCTCAGTCATCTCCAGGCCTTGCCAGGCTTACAGGTGATTGAGCTGGTATGTTACGGATTTCAGATTGTGATGACAACTGAACACAGAAGATGTGGTTCATTTCATCCTGAAGTAGAGCTTCAAGGCATGTCAGGGGAATCCAACTGCCATGTACCATAACAGGCTTGGGTGACCAGGGCCAATTTGGATACTTGTACTGTAGACAAGGCGACTCCTGCCTTAGATTAAGCTCCAATTAAAAGCTGAGGCAACCTAGAGCTGAAATGCAGAAGCCATCCCGCAGTTGCTGCTGCCCCAGATCCTAAATGCAGTAAGATTGTGTATTCAGAGTTGAGCCTTCTGTGCATTCTCTGAATTACCCCATGGGGGAAGGGGCCTACAGGCCTGAGGACTCACAAATGCAGGAGTGATGTCCTGTGCCAGTCTCTGTGATGGTTCAGCAATCAGCACTTGTTTGCAATAGAGGTGTAGCTCCATGAAACTTGAGTGCTACGGTGGGCATGGCGAACTACTGCTTCCAGCTACCTGGGTAATTCTAATGTAAAACTCTTTGGAGATCATCTGGGCAGTTCAGGCTGGGCTCTGAAAGTACAGAGCTAGCAGTGAAATACAGCAGGGGGACAGTGAACTTTGATCTATGAGAGCAAAACCCAAAGATTCTAGGCCTCATTTTACATAACTTCCCCATTTTTATGGAGTGGCTCTTCTGCAGTTTATAAAGCTGGGGTGGGGGCTTTCTACAGTACTCTGAAAGCTACAGCTGAGATATTTCACCCTACCAAGCACGTACTGTAATTAAACAAACACAAAGTATCAACGTATTTTATTTCATGTAATTGTTCCATGAAATACCACTTTCTGGACTCAACAGGTCCAGATCAGCCTTTTACTCTAATTTAAAGGTGTATTGTGTTTTAATGATTACCATGTGACTGGGTATATAATTCAAGCTATAGAATACATCTATGCAGTTTACACTTATAAGGCACAGCTCTTATATACTAATATACTACAGTTGTGTTATGTTCAGCAGCCACGTGATTAGATATTGAATATTTTCCTCACAACAGCAACAAACTTCTCATCTGTTGGTGGCTTCCTCTGGCTGCCAGGCTGCAAGAATTTTTTGATTGTTGGAATGTTGCTCGTTCTTCCTTTAAAAGCCTGTAAGAAGCAGCAGTAAAGCCAGTGAGAGTTGGGAAATAAGAAGTCCATCCTTTTATAGCTTATAAATCAGGTAACTTAGATTTTTACTTCTGAGATATACTTATTAAACAGAGACAGGTAATAGCTCTTTATAGCCAGCTCAGCTCTCACCATTTTCCATTTTTACACACCCACAATGTATTAGTCTTTTTGGAAAATCCAGGTGTGAATATTCTGATCTGCAGTGCTGGTGCTATAAAGTTTACCTTAGTTTCCCAGATGGGGATTGGAGAAATTAATATCAGACAGTTAAGATTCACCTGGCAAAGCTGGAAGAATCATACAATCATTTTAGTTGGAAAAGACCTTTAAGAAGGAAAAAATAAGGAAAAAAGAAAAAGCAAAAACCACAGCCTGAATCCAAATCCTGAAGATGTATTTGAGCAAAAAAAGAGGCAAGGACAGGAATACCTCAATGCAAAGCATCACGGAAGACAAGACATAAGACACGTAACAGCTTTGTATATGATTTCTTCAAAATATACTTTTGCAGGAACTGCAGACACAACAGGCCAGAGACTTCCGCTCCTGATGCTCATTGCTGTGTTTGAAGACATGAAAGTAGCAGTTACAGGAGCAAACTGGTAGAGACAGTAAGTAAATTACTGCCACCTGAGAACAGCTGGGAAAAGTGGAGCTGGATAAAAGGTGAGCCCCCAGCAGCGCTGGGGGCAAGGCAGTGTGGGTGTGGTAAGGTTGCTGTAAACAAAAATAGACCAGAGAACTGTTTACAAGGTTTCAAAAGATTTAAATATCAATTAGCTTTCAAAACTGGGCAGACACATTTGTATGTTCCATTCCACATTGAGATCAGGTGATTACTAACCTGTAGCAGAGGGAATGCAGACAGTATGTCAGGCTTACATTCTTCTGCCATTAAAATGGCTTCCAGAAGGTGGATGTCTGCCCAGCTTAATTTGTTGCCAACAAGATAATCATGCCCGTGGTCTTTTAAGGCCTACAAAATACAAATTAATAAAAAGATGGGTAGGATGCAAAAATTTTACCTAGATATTTCATTAAAGAAAGATTTCTACAAAAATGCACATCAGAGAAAATCTATGAAGAAGTTAGAATGTTACAGCTATTATCAAACAACATAAAGAATGAGAACTCACGTTCCAGTGTGTATGGACCTATCACTATCACCTACTGCAACAGGCAGCTATACCAACTCCAGATCCAAAAGAAAGATTGAAACCATAGAAAAGAAACAGGACCAAAGTAAGTGTAGCAGGTAGTCAGGACAGCTTCTCTGTCATGTACCTCAGCTAAAAAAAAAATAATTCCCAGATGTTTAAGGAAACTGAGACTATGGTTTATAGTTTGCACCAAGTGAGGAATGCACTGCACCAATGTCCCTCCCTCCACACCTTTTCCATAGGGGCCAAGGATGGGCTGGGGACCTCAGCCTCAGACCAAGGCTGCCATTAGGGTTCAGAGATCTACAAAGCCTGCAGCTCCAGGGACACTGGGGTTGGAAAAGGCAGGCCAAGGGGAGCAGGGCACTCCATCAACATTCCACCTTTCAGACCTTTCTGATCTGGGCCACCCATAGTGCTGGGAGCCTCAGCCTAGGTCCCAGGCTGTCATTAGGGTTCAGGTTAGGGTTCAGTAAGCTGCAGAGCCTACAGCTCCAAGGACACAGGGGTTGGAAAAGGCATGCCAAGGGGAGCACGGCACTGTTCCATCATTCCTCTCTCTACACTTTTTTGATCAGGGCCACCGATCATGCTGGTGACCTCAGCCTCAATTCCAGGCTTCCATTAGGGATAAGGTTCAGTTGCTCTGAACCCTAACCGTAATGGAAGCCTAGCCCTAATCCTAACCCCAAACAAAGCCTACAACTCCAGGGACACTGGCACTGGAAAAGGTATTCCAAGGGGAGCACGGCACCAGCATTCCTCCCTCCGCACCTTTCTCATCTAGGCCACCCATGGTACTGGGGGCCTCAGTCTCAGTTCCAGGCTGCCATTAGGGTTACATTTAATTTTTGGCTCAGGGTTAATATTGGCACAAGTAAGTCCTGCAGCCCCAGAGACACTGGCACTGGAAAAGGTATGCGAGGGGAGCATGGCACTGCAGCAATATTCTTCCACACCTTTCTCACCTCGGCCACCCATGGTTCCAGGAATCTCAGCCTCAGCCCCAAGCTGCCATTAGCGTTAGGGGTTCCGAGCCTTTCCACCCCTCCTCCCATACCGAAGGATCCTTTAATGGCAAACTGCTGATGCAACAACGACAGCCCACCTAAGCTAGTGACAGCTGTAATAGACAAGCTATGGTGCATGTTGCAGCACATCCTCAGAGCAGTTCCCAGCTCTCCAGCCTACTTTTTCCCTGAGGTCTATCACCCTTGTAGCAGAAGGAAACATTTCTATGCCTGATATACTGTAATGTTATCTTTAAACAACTAACAAATGTGCACTAAAAGTCTCATTTTGGAAGCCAGTGCCTTCTCCAGTCTCATCTTCCTGTGTGACTATAAAAGACGCAGTGATGTTTTACAGAAGCAAGGCTGATAACTTCGTGTAGTTATTTCCTATGCTGCTCTAACAATGTTCACGACAGCTTATCTGTCCAACCCACATGGAACCTCCCAAACACAGCATCAGATCCAGATGGCCTGCAGTGCTTTATTTTACCTTTTGCCGCTCTATCTGGCTGCTGAGTGTTTAAAGTGAAGACTTATAGGTAGGGACATTCTCTGTCAGGACTGCCTAACACATGGACTGCAAACCCTGCTAATCAATGGACAACTTAAACAGCTGGTACAGAAGAAAAATTATTAATCATTCTAACAAAATTAACCAGGCTAAAAATAATGTAAAAGTTTAGCTGTGTCTTTACCATAAGTGAACAATGATTATTTTAATGAGTTTCCTCCAGTGAGCATACACACTGAAACATACCACAACAGTAGTTTATGCCACCTAGGCACAGGTTCAGAGAACATTGGTGTCTAAATTTGCTTTCTTATTTTTTAATAACTTAAACACTTATTTCATCAGACTTCAAATCTTTGAAAATTTAACATGTGCAATCTATGTCTCAGCACAGCCTTGCATTGGTATAGATCTAGCTGAACTCTCATTACAGCAGTGCAGGCTTATGTCATTTATGTGCAATGTTTTTTTCACAGAGCAGCCTCTGGGCATTTTGCTTGCGCATTTTAAGGCTCTGATAAAGAGGCACATGAAATTGCATCAAGTCCTGTATTTTTTGAATGGAGTTCAGCTGCCTGTGAAACAAGGATTCAAGCCAGAAACCTGGCTCAGCTCTGAAACAACACAGCTTTGTACAGACTTCCGAGGAGACTGCTACACTCTGAAACAGTGCTATGAGAAAGCACAACCATACGAGGCACAGAAGGTAAAGTTACAGACAGAAGTAGGATAGTGGCATGAGGATCACAGCTGACTCAATTCAAACCAGAAAATGTTAACACAAAAAAATTTTTAAATATCCTAAAGCAAAAACCAAAACAACAGAAAAAACAGCAAATTGGTAGAAAATGGCAACTCAATAACATCCAGGCTATGTTCCAGGGAGAAGCAGAGAAGGCCCCTCCTAAGCAACTGTTGCCTGGCCAAGAAAGACTCTACATGTACTCTATGGGGGTGGTAAGCACACCAGTGCCTTACCTCATAGCTCATTAGAGGCTCTCTCTTCAGTGCATGCTAGCCAGTAAATAACTGCTTTATATTTTTAAGCTATATACATCCTGTTTGCAGAGCCTCTTTGTGCACACCTAGGGATGCCCAAACAGGGCTTCAGAAAAACACAGTAATAGTCTGTAAATGTAATGTTTTTAAGCAACGGGTTTGAGAAAGATCACAGGTCCTTAATTATAAAGCACAACTATATTTAACTTGAAACAGCAAGAGTATATTACACTTTCAGGCAGTAAGTTTTGAAGGCTGGCACAGGTATTTAAATGGTGCATTTATGTAAAATGCTAGGAGCTATCAGCCACTAAGCTAGGTTTAAAAAGTAGGATCTGCTCTTTGAGGAGTCTTAAAGAAGAGAGCAGAGATACTCAGTACTGAAACCAGCCCAGTATTATTTTGTGTCCCTCTTTTCACACTTCTGAATGCTGGCTCCATCATACAGTTCCAGAATTGTACTGTCACTTGCCTCCCAGAAAGCAGGTGTGTGGGGACAGAGGAGGGGGACGGGGGGAACCTGTACTCCACTTTACTGTCTTTGTGATTTATCACTTACCTTTTCATAAACAGGAAAGTACCTGGTTGTAGCTCGTTCAATGATTAAGGCAAGATTCTTTTCTTTTGTGTCAGCTGGTTGAAAAGGGAGATACATGATCATTCCCATCAGGTCTGTTGTTCCCTCCACGTACATATCAATCCTGAAACAAACATTTTTATTTCACATTTATTATCTGAACATTCCATTTTGGTTATTTTCCTGAAATACATTGCTGAAGTGATCACTGAGTAAAATGCTTACTGGTGAATACAATGTAAGAGACTATTTTATTTTCTTGTTCTTCCACTTTGATTCCAGGTCAGGTTTTTTTTTTCAAAGCACAGATCTTTACGAACAGGCTCACAGTGTCTGCAACAAGCCAGGTATAAATAAGAGTCTGCAACTAATGTATTTAAAGTGGAGTTCACACTGTTTTCCATTGGTAACCTATTCATCTGTGCTGTGGGAGAAAACACCACATATGCAAACCATGCTAGAGAAAAAAATATCTTTGAGGTCTTATCATTACAGCTGGAACAGAGCTGGGTTTCTTTTTAGTAGCTAGAATAGTGCTGCATTTTGCTTTCAGCCTGGGACTTGTTATGAGAAACACTGATAACACACCAGTGTTTGCATTCTTGTCGCAGGAAGTGAAGGACTTTGTGTTTTCTTAGTCTGCAAGCGCAAGATCTAAGGGGGTGAGGAATATTTAAATTAATAAGCTAAATTGGCATTTGGCTATGCCAATGGGATATTCCATATCGTTTCACGTCACACCCAGTATATTAGTGAGGGTCTCTTCCTTTTTTAGCTCTCTCTGGTTTTCGCTCGGGTTCTCGCTCTCCCGGGATTGCGGTTTCGGTTCGGGATTGTCGCTCCTTCGGGATCGTTATCTGGGAACAGGCCGGGCTTGGTCAGCAGGTGGTGAGCAGCTGCACTGGGTATCACTCATTTACATATTTTGTTGCTGTTATTATTATCACTACTATATTAATATTAGTATTATTTTAAGTTTTCTTTTACTTATATTATTAAATTGTTCTTATCTGACCCTACAAGTCTCCTTACCCTTGCTCCCCAATCCTCTCCCCTGTCCGCTGGGGGTGAGGGGGGTGGGTGAAGGGCTGTGTTGGCTGCTAGCCAAGGGCTAGCCCCGTGAAACTATCACATTATTAAAGGATCTAGGCAACAAATAGCTGCCAATTGCCCATTCAGACATTCCAGTCCATAATAATCCCCACAATCTCTGGAGTTGCCCCTCCATTATCACAGAATAAACCCTTTACAGTAAGTGGTAATGAGTTAGTTAAAATAAACAAGGATTTTTGCTTTTGCATTAGCCCTTTAATTACGACAATGGAAAGTATGCACAGCATACAAAGGAATATTAGGAAAATATTGGTTTAACTTTCAGTAGCATTAAGCCACTGAACATGTCTTTTTTAAAAATCAGCTGTGAAAGATTCTTTACATTTTGAAAAAATGAAATTAGAACACTTAAAGACACTTCATTTTTCCTTCAGGCAGCTGTAGTTTTTCCTGCTGTTTTCCAGTTCAAAGGAAAAAAACAGCATACTTAGCCTTTATTATTGTATTAAGTTCTGCAGTTGCCCAGAAACTTAAGGGACTTCTGGTCTCTGTGAAATCAAGTGAGCCTGAAGGTGGCCATAACATTCTCACCGTGTTGACAATTAACAACCGATTATCAGTCACAAAGTCCATTCGCCCTTTCCCTGGATTGAGGAGACAAAGCACTGGCAGATGTATATGCAGCTTTACATGCACAAACTTCACAGCAATTTTCTTCTCATATATATTAAAAATCATGGAAGAATATTAGTAAGGACAGCATGCACTGTTACCATACCAGGCTCTCTCCTTCAGGTCCTTCCCATAGAGGTTGTACTTTGCTGCTATGTAGCTGAGGATGGCTCTAGTCTGCACCATCTTCATCCCATCAATCTCCACCATAGGCACTTGCTGGAACAACAGGACTCCATCTGAGGAAGAAAAAGAAGCAAACTATTCAGACTGTTGCCATACTACACTGAATATGAGAAAGATCTGCTAACACATCAAGACATTTCCAATTCTGAGGGATGAAAGCACATACAAGCAAGCAGGTCTCTCAAATCTTCTCTTTACAGGTCACGTCATATTGGAGGTCTTACAAAAATCTTATCTGTTGTCCTTTTGTTATACTGGTGTGAATTTATGTTTAGGGTACAGTTTACAGACTCACCGTTGCGTAATTTTTCTAGGTCTTCCTTTGTTTCTATGAATTCCTCTTCAAACTGAAAAGCAAAGACAGAAAACAACACTGTGTCATTCCAAAGGCAAGCAGAAGGGAGTCTGGAAGTTAGACTCCACCTCTCCACACTATTGCCCATACATCTCATGATTGTGTTGACCCCCTACTTCTATATCTCTGCTCCAGGAAATAACCCCAGGACTGTGGTGTCCCCAACCCCACAGTCATGTACGCTTTACACTTCAAAAAAGGCTTCCTTCATTATAAACACCAGTCTACTTGGCTGTACCAACAATTAACAGACACCAAATCATTCACTTAAAAGCAGCTGATGCCACGTGAAATATTGAGAAATTTTTAATAACTTATGCCTCTGTTACACAGCATTTATCTCCCTCTTTGCCCCTGCTGATATTTTTTCTTTTTAAATGAGAAGGACATTTGAATAAGGGCAAGGTCTTTGTTTCCTCAGCATTCATGCTCTGCAGCTTCTCTCTCAGCAACATCCACGAGTGAGCATCATTAAAAAAGCCTTTTATTTCCAATGCAGTATAAATAGTTTCTGAGAAAACAGTTTCAAAGCACCATATTCAAGCAAAAAGTGCATGTAGAAATTAAGATGCCTTAGGATGGTTTTCACCTGATGTTAATCTGGACAGCTCTCCCACTGCCTTCGGGGCGGCTTTGCTGATTTATCCTACTCAAGTCCTGACCAGAAGAATGAAAAGCACTTTGTTTGGAGATAATGTTGTAAAGTTTTTCATGTGGTACACATGATCTTTAAGTTGAGAACAAGCATGAGACTCAGAGAAGTAATGAACATTAAGAAAAAGTCAGAGATATACAGTTTTAGTCTGCAGCAACAAGTTAAGATCTCTTCAGCTTAAAGTACATTTCAAAAGTGGCACCTAACAATTCTCTTTGTATGTGAAAATATTTTTACTGGGCAGCTGTTGCTCAAGGAATACATTAAATAAATATACAACATGAGAGAGTGTATCACTGAATCCAAGCATTCTGCATCACAACATGTGATACTGTGCATCTCTCTGAGCATAGATGTAAATGGGAAAACTTTCCAAAGAATACTTATTTTAATCACAGGTTAATTTGATCACCTTGTAAAAAAAAGATACAAACCTCAACCCCGGCTGCTGCTAACAGCCATCGGATTGACTCCATCTTCCCCCTTCCCTTGGTGTAGTGCAGCTTGGGTTTCCCCGCCATGATTTCAGCGTTCTTGTTTCCTGATAGATTCAAGAAGATGACCTTACAGCAAGCATGTTTGAAATTAGCATCTAAAACATTCCACTCCGAACTACTAAATGCAGGTGGTTGAATGTGAAAGTAGAAGGGCAATCAAGACCTAGATACCTGGGCTTGGTTCAACCAAGTTTCCTGTGAATTAGGGGGAAAAAAAAGGAAAAGTATACACTACCAGGAGAATATGCAGCAATTCAAAAAAGAATCATGATAAAAAATGTAGTAAGCATCTACTAAACCATATATAGATATCTTTAAAAATATTACCACAGCTTTAAGAGCTCATAGGAGTTTTACAACCAAACAGAATTGTAGGCTATTCCTGAATAAGTACATTTTTAACCTTGTAATGATTCCATCTATTCAGTAGGTGTTGAGTTTGTGACAGCATCCATGTCATAGCAGACTTGAAAATGTACTATGAACTGCTTGACAAGAACACCAACCCAGAGACACCAGTGTTATTTTCACCTCTCTTATTATGACATTTCAGAGCCTTGTGCTCCTGTGCCTTTACAAATACGAGCTTGTAACAGAAATACATATTCCAGCATATGTTTCTCCAGGTCTGCTGACTTCCATATTTAGCTAGGTCTGTTTCGACCATCAGCCAAATCACAATATATCCATTATAGAGAATATGGACCTACTTAAAACCCATTCCAGTTTTACCAACAACAGTTAAGCTGTAACAGGGATTTACATCCTATTGGCCCCGAAAACTTGACTTTAAAATCAAACACATGAGACCGTGCCCTCTGTTGGGCAGATAAAGCCTGGTCACTGCCCCCAGCAGCAGGGGGCTGAAGTCAGCCCACCAGCAGATGGCAAGGGGATGAAACGCTTCATCCTTTCAAATTTCACTAACACCAAGGGCAGTCACATGCCATAGCATGAACTTGGCAGCTGATGTGAGCCTGCCCGGTGCTGGAAACAAAGCTAACACTGTATTCTTATCACTAATGGGTCCCAGAAGAACAAAGCAGATTTAATAAGAAGACAGAGTCACAGACTAACAGAGTGCTTCATCATTAAGCCAAAGCTTTAACTGTTTACAGGCAGGCTTATTTATTCTTGCATAGCTTCACAGTACATAATTAAGCCACAAAGTGGAAACTTTGGCCGTAGCCCCAGAGGCATCAGTGAAGAGGCACAAACAGAACAACAGTGAGAGGGGACACTGCATCCCTGGCCTTCTCCACTGAAGTCCTTTGTGTTGGGTGGCATTTTCAATAGGCCCTATAGTAAACAGCCATTGGTCTTCCCATGAGAAACTTGGTGCCAAAATACAGGTCTTAAAAACTGCTGCTCAGCTTCCACCACCTAGCCCTGGAAATGCCCATATCCCCAGACACTTCAGTCTTTTCCAGCAAAGTTCTTCTGACACATAAATACTTGCTTGATAACGAAGACTTGATTATGTCGTGATGGTTTGGGGTTGTCATCAAGTCTAGAGTTTCGGGACACCTAACTAGATTCTTAATCCCTGCACAGCACCAGGGTGCATAAACAAGGCATTTAGAGAAGTGCCTTAGCGCAGTGTCTTGGTTTAGTCAGCTGTTCTATCACCCAAGGACCCCTCCCCACCTGAAAAGGGGAAGTGGGAAAAGGAAAGGAGACCCATGGGAAGAAATGAAAACAGGTTTAATGAAATAATAATAACTAATACTAATATAAAATACACAAAGTTATACACAGTTGACAAAAGTGTGACAGTCACAAGAAGCAGGAGAGCAGGCCTTGGAAGCAGAATGACGGGCGAGTCCCTCCAGGGATGGTGACCATTAAGGAAGAAGGTTGTCCCCAGCAAACTTTCCAATTTATCATGAGTGTGACATTTATAGCATGGAATACTTCTGTTGACCACCTTGGGTCAGCTGCCCTGGCTTTTGCTTCTCCTAGCCTTAGCACCTGGCTAACTAAACTGCTAAAGACCCTGGTCACTGTGGAAAGCCACATACCTTGGCTGGCCACAAACTAAAACAAAGTGTCTTGCCAACTTTGTTCTCACCAAATTGGGTGCCACAGCCTTCTTAAAATACAGCTTTTCTGACTGAGAATTAATTCTATGATTCTATCTTAGCAAAACTAGGACACACAGCTACCTTATGAGGTTCTACATGCAGAAGACCATGACCTATGCTGCATTTCTAGTTCCCATAAGTGTGTGAGTTACACTATACCAAGTGAAAAAGCTCTCAACCTTCCATACTTCAAAAATACTTCATTCCCTGGCACTGAGGAAGTAAATGACAGTCTTAGCTCCACTCCATCAGAGAGGAGAACTGCACTTGGGCCCCCACAGACTGGACAAGCACTGTAACCTCCAGCACGTGGGATCAGCTGGGAAACATGTTACAAGGATAGGCTACAGTAAGCATAAAGAGCAAACTTCCCCGTTCTCTCCCCAAAGCAGAGCTGATAAAAGTTAGCCCAGACAAAGCCCTGCTTGCCAGTGTCAGCTCAGCCCTCACTTCCAACAGCTGGGAAAGCTGAGGAGCAGAGCAAGCACCAGTGGAAAAAAGGTCCAGGTATCAATGCAACCTGCACTTGTACATCACAGCTCCTTGTGGGGACTGGCCAAGGGCTGAGGCTTTTTGTGTGGGTCAGAAAAAGCTTACATTTTCTTGGACCTGCACTGCTGAAGGACTGACTTAGGAGTTTAGGCTGATCGCCTACATAGGATTGCAAAGTACTTTGGTGACAGTTACTGCTCTGCAATGGACATCCCTTTGTAAAGCAGTGAGTCATGAAAGAGTAACAAAGCTGCTACATTATCTTTCTTGAACAGCAATAATGGAGCTGAAAAGAAATCACAAACTGTCTTGATGTTCCAGCGTCTGGAAGCTCCCTTGGACCTCAGCCAGGCAGCTGTCAGAGTCGTCACAGCTACCACTGCGATTGCTGTATTAAAAAATCCCACCGTTTTGTGCAAAACAATTCAGGCAATGGCCTTCCACTGAGAAACAAGTACACGAATTTAACAGTAAGGTCATAATCTGCGGCAAGATCTTAAACTTCCTTCCTAATTGGAGGCGGACCCCAAAGCGGTTCCTTGCAGGGCTTTGTTGCTGGAGCAGAGGTCGCAGGGGGCTGCTCCCGCAGAACCACCCGCCCACAGCCCAGACCGGAGCACGGAGCCGGCTCGGTCCCGAGGCTGCCCGAAGGCTGTAACTGCTCACCAGTGCGCAGCTTCTACCGGGACCCAGGCCAAGTCTGGATTCAAAAAGCGTTCCTTCCACCACCCGGGCTAGGAGGAACATTTGAACGAGGGGAAAGGCAAGTTACCCGGAAAGATTTTAGAATTTTAACTCCAAACAGCGATTCCTCTTCAGGTTCCCTGCTGATCCCGCCCAGAACGAGGCACAAGCTCCCTCTGCCATACCCACCCCGCCCGGCGTGGGTCCTGCTGCAGGGGAGGGAGTGGGGGGTACCCCGGGGACAAACACCCTGGATCAGCGCCGCAGGACACCCGAGCACGCTCCTGAGAAGGGTGAAGGCCGGTCTGTCACGCAGCTC